AAAAAATACACTACCTCCACTCCTTGTCACAGCTGGCCTAGTATTCTGTTACAGGTAAGAAAAATAACAATTCCTTTTAAATTTGTTTAAGAAATAAGTGGCTAACGCTAATCAGCTCGGACTTGGCCTCCTCCTTCATATGTTACTGTCACGAATTCCTAGATTCTCAAAAGCTATGCTGTGGACTTAAGTTTCATTGGAGAATCTCTATTAAACCTATTAAAATGAAGTCACATTATCTGTTTGTTCCGTGATGTGGGCTGTTAATGTCTTTGCCATTTCCGTTTTTGCTCACATTAGATACAAGCAAGCCATGGATTCTGAGTACTCTGACTCTTGTGTAAGTAAACATTCCAAGAAGTACACCTCTGCCCCGTCTTCACTCTTCACTAAGATTTATTACTCTGCTCACTAAGACTCCACATTTGCAAATAGCCTTATCTGCAGTCATGTTCAGTCTGGTTATCTACATACCTTTTATTGCTGTCTATAAACAAGTGCTCTGAAGGTTGCTGCGCATTGTCACGTTTAGATTTTAAATATCGAGAAAGCCGAGTAATACAATTCAACCAGTTTGTTTCATTATTGAAAATTACTTGTATTAATAGTTTGTGTTGAACCATCCCCCTCCACACACACACACATGCGCGCACCTCCTCCTAGAAGTCTGACATACTTAGCATTCTTTAAATTCAAGCATGGCTGATCTGTATTGTTCTACATCTCCATACCTTCGTGGTATGCTCAGTATGAGGTTAGTTGTTACACATTTCACTTGATTCTTGCCACTCAGTTGTTTTATATATTGTATAGAGAGTGGATGCCACAATTATTGTCCCTTTTTATTAAATAGGATATGTACTGGGGGACCCTTGGAACAGTACGACCCTACTCCAATTTCTACCCTGACAGAGATGTGATGGAGATCGTGACAGCACTGGAAAATAAAGGCATTCATTGGCATATGTTGAAAATATATTCCCACGATTTCTTTCCACCCTTTTCCTGGTAATTTATTGAATATCGTGTATCTTGCTCAGACACAGTGACGCTACTGAGAATACTAACCAATAGGAACAACGCCCAGAGGCAAGTAATTGCTCAGGTCTTTCAGGAGCTAACACATAAGGTGAGAAAATAGAAACAGTAACAACCTTTTCAAAGAGTTTCAAAATTAAAACTTTAATGGTTTTGTGGAACCCATTAAGTGTAAAGTTGTCTCCTACAATAAAATATATTAAGCAATGAAACTGAAGTTTCAGTTTGAGGTTTAGTAGTTATAAAAGTTTAGCCTTGCTCATCTGTAACTTTGAAGTGTTTGCTGATCAAATAATAAAAAAACGGTGACATTAAAGGTGTGAACACACCTTTGTTTAGCAACTTCAGAACTGCTGTCACATGCCCAACTGTAGTGTCTTACAGGGAAAGAGTACACCATAGTGTGATAGTCAGGCAGGTTTTGTGTGAATCCACTTCCAATCCCAAGTGTACTCTGGGTTTTTTTTCCATTAGTCAGAGGTTTTTTCTAGATATTTACTGTTTCTTTACTAAAATAACTTAACAAGAATTACAAAAAGAAAACCAGGAGTGAAACTCTGAGTCAAGTCAAAATAAGAATTAATTCAGTGTTATTTTATTTATGCATGTGGTGAATTAGGATATAATAACTGCTCTGAAGAAAGCTTTATCTGGAGACCTGGAGCTTCTTTTGCTGGAACTGTTGATGCCCCCCGTGGAGTATGAAGCTTACCGTCTCCAGGAGGCCATGGTGGTGAGTGGTTGCTTTCATCTTTAGGATTTTGGAATAGATGTTATAACTGTTGTATATCAAGAAATGTGCATGGTATGTGTGTGCAGGGTTTGGGCACAGATGAAGAAACGCTTGCGGAAATTCTGAGCACAAGATCTGGAAAGCAGCTGCAAAGCATCAGTGCTGCATACAAAGAAAGTAAGTCAAAGATCTTTTATGATACTTTTTTTTT